AAATATAACGTTTGAGGGGTGCGTGCGTGTGCGCCAGCCTCCGCTGATGTTTGCTCCCGGTTGTTGAAATGGGGAGAGTGCAACGTCTTGGAAACGGGGGATGCGGTTCGAATGCGGTATGAAAGATGGTACCGTTGCTATACATATTGCATTAGGCGGAATTACGCAACACTCTTGCTCGAGGGCGCTTGACAGTAAACAGTAATTTCCTCGATTGCTGTGTGATCTTGCGAAAAATAAATAGAATCTCTCAGAAATGACTAAAGCAAATGTACGCGATCATTTATTTTATGACAGGCGTTTTCTGAATCACAAAGAGCGAGATGTGTCTGACTAGTAAAACTCAATAAAGTAAACTAACGGAAGTAAAATAATGGAAGAAAATTTTTGATAAATATTTTGTAGGCCTACTTCTCTCCGAGAGGTATTTACCTTTTTATTTTATCGTATGCTAAATTTTTTTACAAGATTACCAGAATATGAAAACCTCAATATACCTCGAGAACTCAATACTGACAATACTTACATATGATCTTGAAATGTATTAATTTTCAATCGATCCTTTTATTAATGTCTGAATACACACACGAGAAAAAAACTTTATTGAATAGCTGTCCTAATTTGAACGAACATCTGCTTGAAATGTATTCGATCTAAAATCATCATGAATTATCGATACATTGTCGTTCGTAATTCTGCGACATACATAATCATACGAAGAATTTTTTGGTTTATAATATAAAGTGAACATTTTTTGAAAGCGTTTAATTTAAAGACTCTTATGTTGTACCAAGATCCTTTGTCCCCAGATTTTGAGTTTTATTGGTTGCGTTTCGATATATATCCTTATAAATTATCATTATTTCGTTTTTATTCACTGTGTATATTATATTATTTTTATTACATATTTATAATATTATTTTACGATCTTAAATCGTGCATTTTTATTACAAGACAAGCTAGATGCCTAAAGCTATGGAAAAAGCCTCAGATTGTTCGGCTCTACCAGCATAGCATTGCCACGATTTGCTGATAAAGTATCACGAGCGCAGAGGGGGAAGGGGGGGGAGGCGGATTTCCCGTTTGAAATCCCATCCCATCTCCCGAAACGTTGCGTAACATCGCGACGTTGGAAAATCCGCGATTTTTCTCCGCGATCACGTACCCGTCGTGTCTCGCGAAAGGGGGTCGGCGCGCGTCGCATCACGCCGCGAATAAAATACGCGTAGCGAGTGAATTGTCGAATTGAAGCCTCGTAATCGAGAGCACATGACAATACGATCCGTGCAATATCGGACGTGGCCGGCGTGAGCGAGCGACACGCGTCAAACGTCGACTGGCGGAAACAGATGCTGCGGCCGTCTACGCGCATCCGGCGCGCACTCGCCACCACGCGGAGACACGTAAATCCCCATTTAGCGCGAGCCAATCGCAAGGGAGGATCTCGGGAAATGGTCCGCGGATGGTCCGATCTGTATCAATCCGGCCGAGCGATTCAATGAATTATAAGAGAGGCAATGAAAAAAAGTATTTGTTCTTCTCACAAGTGTAAAGCGTCCTTTTGGATTTTTTTTTTTTTATAAGATAGGTATTCTTTGTTATAGAAAAAATGTTTTTTCACTAGAGACATATTATTATTATTATTATTATTATGTGAGCAAGAATATTAGAAGATTTTAATTTTGATTCGATTAAATTTGTATTGAATTTCAATTTTACTTGAGACTAAAAATCTTCTAAATGAAGATTACAATAATAAGACTAATTTTCAAGACTAACTTTTTCCCTATTGTCCGCGTTGAAACTGTTATTGCAAACAATTTTTTTAAAACTTTTATTACAAAATATGTTATTCTATATAATATCGTCGAAAGAAAATGTCATCATCTAAAGATTGCTAAAAATGAAATCATCCTGATGATTTATTTTATTTAATATCTTTAAATGATGCAGCAAAAAAGACAACTTTTTAAATATAATATCACAATTGGAATCAACACAATTGGTCAGCTCATTCATTTCAATTTATCGACAGTAAAAGAACGATAATGCCACGGAACGTTTCTCTAAGATGTGTCAGACTATCCGATCTTTCTTGTACGATCCTATTCTTTTTATTGTTAGTAAAACTCATTGATATTTACGCTGAGGACACGAACTACTTTTTTATGTGCTATAATAATCCAAAGAATTAATTAACTATAAAGTAGTTTAGCATTATTTTCATTACATCATTAACGCGCAATAATGTAATAATCGATCGAGACAATAATATTCTATTAATATACCAAAGTAATAATATTCCCATAATAATAATATACTAAAATAAAAAAGTATTATTTGAATAACGATATCCTAATAAAGATTGCAATACATCACGTCACACGACAAGAATTGCGTCCGTTAAAAGTGTATATCTATTCTTATAATTTTATTAATATTTACAACGAAAAAAATTATGAAAAACTTTGATTATTCTAAATCTAAATTTATAAATAATACAAAAAAGTTTAGCAGCGCTTTGAAACTTTGATCAAAGATTATTAAAGTAAATGAGTAAAAGTGTACTCTAATAAAAATGTAATTAAGAACTGATGACAAAAATCTCAAATTAAGATTAAAAATTATTATTTACAAAATTTTTATTCACAGAAGAGCTAATCTTGCGTCGCAATGAAACTTTGCACAAATCATTTTGAATATTTAAAATATTTATATTTAAAAAATTGCAATTGTTCTCATTATTATTTTTAACTCACATTAACATTTCCATTTATACATTTTTCTTACCTACTTTATGTTTAAATAATTTTTTATTCAGATTTTTAAACCGTCGCAAAATTTTGTGTACTACTTTTAAATACTATCCGGAATAACCTATAATTTTTTCATAATAAATAAAAATAGGCGTAATACATCCTTGAGATAAACGAGGAGCGGACAACCGGAACTGTGCTCGGAAGCGGAACAACATGACGTTAACTTGCATCCCCGACGACGGGGCATCAACTCTTAATTCAAAATCTTGGTTAACGCGAGCAAGAGGAAGTTGCCGTTTGTCGTCATCACCGTTGTTGTCATCACCAGGTTGTACCTGGAGGCGAGGTTGCACACATAGCTCGCGGGAATCCCCGTGTTGCGCATCGTGTAACCTCTTTGCTCCACCACCCCCAACGACGCGCGTGTTTGCGTAATTTTATTCGTCTCACGAAATTGACGAATGAACGCGCAGGCACCGTGCGTGTCGATAAATAAAGAGCTTTTAAGCGGCGATAAAGGAATAACGCCGGATGTCATATCGCGTCATACAACAAAAAGTCACCCCGCTAGTTTTTTATCGTCAAACGTGGTAGAGTCGAAGACCCAGAACGGGGCCGGAATGCTGCTTTTTCAGCTTGCGTTGCAAAAAGTCTTTGCAAATTGATTTCTTCGCTTTGTTTTTTTATGTATAATGCGTATGTGTGCGTGCGTGTGTCTGT